ATTTTAATACAAGAACGAGGCAACCTATTTATATACCCGGTGAGCCGCGCGGCGCCAAAAGGACGAAAACAATCTGATGACACAAATTAAAAAACCCCCGAGAAATCGTTAAAGATAAATATTGCAAGATATCGAAAAAAAATCAAAAGCTCGCTATCTCGATCTTTATGGCGTATCTCATGCCGGAGACGTGCGCGGGATATCGAAAAGAAACGAGAACGGAATGATGATAAAGGAGAGAGGAAGAACGATGAGAAAGGTAGATTTTTTAGAAGGAGTGCCGGGATAGAAAGAGAGAAAGAGAGAGAGAGAAAAAGAGAGAAGACGAAAGGGGAGAGAAGAGGGAGGTAAAAGGAAGAGCCAATACAGGCCAAAAGATAAAAAGAGAGAAATAAGAAACGAGAGGAGAGATACCGAGGGAGGAAGGAAGAGAAAAGAAGGCCCGCGCGGTGAGCGCCGGACGGCCGGTATATAATAAGGCAGCCTGAAGAGGATAGCACTGAAATGAGATGGTTTCGTCGGCAGCTTTGTTCGGCGCCATGTTTAACATAGCACCACCTCATCTACGTGGCGCAGCGACTCGGGGGACCCCACGGTTCCTCCGTTTTTACACACGCCGTCTCCCTCTTTCTTCCTCCTTCTCCTCGTTCTCCCGGTCGTTCTCTTACCTCCAACTTGTCCAGAAGCAGATCCGCGAAAAAGAACAAGCACGAGAGAGAGAGAGAGAGAGAGAGAGAGGGAAAAGATAGAGAGGAAAGAGGAAAAGAAAGAATGAGGGCCAGTGTGTATACAAATCAGATCCTCGCGCCCTTTGTGAGATCGTACTCCGCCTACGGTGATTCGAAACGCCGTCTGCATTTACGGCGCATCGTAAATAAATTTTGGCGAACGTTCCCGGACCCGAAAATACATCCGCGAGACCGTGGTAAAAGACGCTACTTTACGTTATCGTCACTTTCTTTTCGAATTGTCGCTCGATCTGACGGAGGATCTTCAACGTGAGATTTTTTAGACGCGCGTTTCTCAAACGATTTATAAAATTAATATTAAATTTTCTATATATAATCCGCGATGACAATTATAATATGCAAGTGGTTCGCAATTCACATTCATCTCGTGAATTAATTAATCACGCGGAATGCGCGTGACTCACGATGGATTTGCGATGGAAATGCGACGGGTTTGTGGAAAAAGCGCGAACGCAAAACGACAGACCCATATTCCGCGAAAAATTCGCATAGCACCGAGCAGTGAGTCAGTACCGGATCTCCTTGAAGCAGTTTACAACGAGCGCAAATCTGCTGTGCCCGTATATACTCTTTTCTCTCTCACAACCTACTAACACTTATCTCTCTTTCTTTCTCCTTCGGTTTCTTCGTCGTATCTTCGTCAGTTCTGCAACACCGGCGGCGATCGTTGCCGTCGCGCAACAGAAATCTGCGAAACGTTTCATTCATAATTCTTTCAGCGCCGCGCAGCGCACCGGAACTTATTGCCACCTCCGCGAGGAGTTACGTTTCCTTGGAAAGGACGCGAGACGCGAATCGTCGTAAGAACGATTGCTGACCAACGGCAAGCACGAACTCCGCCGCCGTTCTCCCGAGTTGCGCAAAAATTTCATTTCCATCGCACGACGTCCGTCTTAATGACGTTCTCCTTGACCGGGACACCGTGACAACGGGAGGTCTCTCCTTCGTGCTTTTTTTTTTTTTATAATTTTTTTTTTCTATTCCGTTGCGGATATTGCAAATCGATAGCGCGATCTATGAAACGGAAAACTCATGCTCAATCGTAAGAATAATCGCAATCGCGTTTATCTAACGGCTGTGCTACTTTACCGTGTACTGTGGTTTTTTTTTTTTAATAAGAATAAAAATTGCGTTAGCTTCTTTTTTGCGTTGATTCGCGCTTTCTACACCGAAGTCTAATTTAAAAAAAAAAAAAAAAAAAATCATCTCTCACTCCAAAATTAAAAATCGCGCGTCAACTCGGTTTTATTTCGTCTTTAAAAGCACACGCGGTGTTAGGTCGGGGGATACCCTGCGCAGCGCGGCGGCGGCGGCGGCGCAGCTGAAAATGTATGCAGGACCAAGGGGGTTAATCGCAATCGTCGTGAGAATGGTATGTCGTTCGTTACAAACTGGTCGAGACAGAAAAGGGCACGGGCTAGGGTCGTTCAAGGCTGGACAACGATTTTTCCAAACGAGCATCGAGAGCGTGTCTCTTTCTCTCTCTCTCTCTCCTCCTCTCTTTCCCACCTCTCTCGAAACAGGACCAACTACTACTTGGTAGCGCCGAAAGAAGCGCGTTATACAAAGCACGTTTGTGTTCAGAATTTCTCTCCAGTATTAGAACTTAGAGCAATAACACAGAGCGTACGGAGCACCCGTGGGAAGTTTCACTTCCGAAATGGGATGTCGGTTACCGGTCTCGTTATCGTCGCTTGTTTTCGATCGCTTTTAAAATAACAGCGTTAATTACCTCTCTCTCGCGAGGTCTCGCGAGATCTCGCAACGCCGATATTCCCAGATCGGGCGCAAGTGAAAATTCCAATTCGCTTTTGCCGCGATATTAATTGCCCCCGTACTTTCTCGTTCGCGCGTTTTATCGTTGCGCGAGAACGTTTTTTTTTTTTTTTAATCTCCATTCGACGCGTGTCCTTTTACGTATACCGTCGCACGCGTTCGTTGCGTATAAATTTTTAAGCGCACTATATATTTGCAACACGATTTTCAGCACACGAAAAAAAAAAAAAAATCGCTTCGAAAAAACCAAACCTCGCAAGTCATTGTTCAATTCTCGACGCGAAGCGCGAGGAAGATCGCTCGGATAACCACGTATAGAAGCGACGATACGTAAGCGCGCGATGTATCCGCTCGCGAATCACGTAATGATCATAAATAAGTCGCCAGAAAGACGGCGAATACCTTTACTGTCTCTATGTAAGCGCGCTGTGCGAATTCCATGCCGAGTTCGTACGTCAAATGATTCGGACGCTAATGGGAGATAACATTTCGAGTTGCACGTGCACTGCCCACGTGGCGTGTGTCCTCGACGCAGACTTCGCTCTCATCTCGCTCTCTCAATGTCTGTCGCGTTAAATTGTTTTTTTTTTCTGATAATGAGAAGAATCTTGCATTAATTACAGCATCCGCGATGGAAACCATTTAAAAGCGCGTAGCAATTCGGAGTATCGCGACTATATAAGGACGTTGAGTCTTCGCGGAAAGAAAAGTTTGTAGAAAATTTTGACAATCTCGAAGGGATTTTCCGATTGCAATTACGAACCGGGTTGAAAGTTGCGTGCGCGGCGAGACGTCGAGACGCGGATACGGCGGAATTCTCGAAAAGCAAAAGCGAGTCGAAGAAAGCGAGTTCGAAGACACCGCGTAAAAGGAGTCGGCGGAGAAGAGCGCGAGGAGAGATGAGGCGAGGCGAGAGGCGGTAGCGCGAAGGAAGAAGCGGGACACGTAGAGGCGCGGGGTAAACGGTGAAGAGAGAAGCGCGGGGTGAGGAAGAGGGAAAGGGGAGAAGGGAGAGAACGGTGGAATGGAATGCGCGGCGCCTAGGGCTCGTTGGATTCCAGGGCCACACGTGCCCTTCCCTTCCTGCGCGTCCGCGCGCCACAGGCACCGACCGGAGCCAATAAACTTCGCCTCCAACTGGCGGTCGCGGTCGACCACCATAGAGCTCATTCATGGGGACCTCCTACCACGTCGCGGCCGACTCGCCAATCGTTCCTCGAGACCTCGCGAATCATCGACGAAGCCGGATATAACGATGTATATACGGGTGATAAACGTATGCCCGTCGAACATATTAAGAACGTCGAGGAGGGAAGTTGGGATCAAGAAGAAGCCACATCAATATTTTTTTTCGCTATCGTTCGAATCTGTTTACACACTTACTTGGTTTCTAGCAGCTCCTGGGGCTAGAAAGGCTCTTGCTAAATAAACTCGAGCGAAGAATGAGCGATGAAGAAAAATGGCGGAGAAAAGTTACGTGAGAATTCCGATCAATTAGATGCCGAGTATTATCGAATTTAACCGAAACAGACCGAAGTCCGATCCTTCTTTTATCTCTGATCTTACTTGCTGCTACTTTTCCTTCGCGCAAGGTTAAATTCGTATTCGTAATTTCAACGCGGACTCCGCGGGTTCTCTACAACACCCGCTGCCATCTAGCGTGTTATGTGAAACTTACGAGAAACGCTTACACGACAAGCTTCACACACATGAGAGATAAGATAAAATCTACGTATGAAGATAAGATTAAATTTTTAACATTTTGTTTAAAAAACCAAAACGCACATTTTATACATTCGCGAATCATTGTTGGAACAGTTTATAGAAGTTGTATTATTACCCGATGTTTATAATAATATGTGCTGATGGTTTTCCTTCTATTTTCTTATTTTCTTATTTTTCTAACGTATTAGTTGTCATATGTACATAAAAATTAATCTATTCACACTTGAGACAATCTCACCTTTTGACTCGCATATTCTCTTTTCTTTCATGATTTCATACTTGTACACACTTGTAAACTCTGTTATTTTTTGATGTTACGAATACGTTGTATATTGTAGCAAATGCGCCTCGCTGTATTACAGCGAATAACTTCATATTTAACCTTTGTGACTCTCATAATCAATTGAAAAGGCAAGATTGATCTAAACCAGTAATGCTAGCTTTTATTAAACACCACCAGCAATATCGCGTCATCACGTTTAATCAGATAGTATGTGTCACTTCCCACTCAGAGCGCATTTGTTTTCTTTTTATTTCGTTAATATTTGTCAAATGTGTGTTTGTTTAAGAGACCTTTCGTTTCTAGACTCGAAAACAAGAATATTTTCGGAAACTTCTTTAAAAGAAACCGAGCGACGAATGTTCTTGCGAATTTTTTACGTTTATTACGCGTATCCTAATTATCGGTAATAATTTTTGAGATTTTAAAATCGAAAGACCTTTTAAACACACAGCTCTACCGTAACTTACCTCGCATTTTCAAAAGTTGCCGATGGACTGCTGCCGACTGCTCCGAAGCCTACGCCAACAGCAAGGCCCTCGGGAATATTATGCACCTTTATAAAAAAATATAACAAGAATAATTAACAAAATTAAGAGAGTTAACGAAACGTACGATTTAAAAAGTAAACGATTTATATGATCATTTTCTTTTCTATCAAGATGTATGTAAGTACCGTGATTGCAACAACTAGCAGCAATATTCTCCGCCACTGGTTGTTGTTCGCTTCGTTATTCGGATCTTCGTAAACAGTTCCGATTTCCGCCGATTCCGTTGGTCTGTTTATATTCGCTATTTGTCGCCGCCTACTATTCTGTTCGTAGAAGCCTGAAAAATTAAATATTCACAGCAACCTGTATAATGTTTCTTTTTTATGCTGTGCACCGGAACACAAACTTCTCTAAAAAACCACACGGTCACACGGACAAACTTTCATGCAATAGCTATTTAATTGGAGGATTTTTTGTCACATTTTGCATTTTCTATTGTCGCGACCGGATTCGTCTAGGCAGGGAGCAATAAGATCAGTTTCTCAAGCTCATGGAACTCTTCACACAAATTCAAAATTTAGTTTTTGGTGTTTCTTTTTTTTATTTAGATCACTTTGTGGTTTTTATTAGATCGTTTTTTACGCGGACGTGCACTTTGTATTAGGAGTACGTTTAAGTTGAATTTTTTTCTGTCTTCTGTTCACACTCTTGATCACACACACACCACTTGTCAAATATTTTTTTATTTTTATTTTTAACAGTTTTGTTTACATTTCATGTTTAAGGGTAGTATTTAGATGGGAGAACGGAGAGCACTCTTTTTATTCATGATTTTATATCAAACCTGTATGCTGAGTTCCATGTACGTCACTACGAACAATGTTACATGCATATGCTAACACAAAAGCCAGAGATATCTTTAGACTAATTGTATGTAAGTGCGCATGTCAAACAACTATTAATACTTTTTCTATAAAACGTTTCAGTTTTTACAAAACATACTAATTTGAATGAACAAATTCGTCTTCGGAATAAGCAATCATCTCTGTACATTAACCCTAACCTAAACCTAAACACGTTAAATTGTGAACACGCAAGAAGAGAAAGAATACAATAGTGTTTTGTCATTCTCTCTCTCTCTCTCTCTCTCTTTTTCTTTCTCTTTTTTTGTGCAAGCGATAATCATGCTACATGCAAGTTTTTGATCGAAGATGATGTGTTTAAAAATTGATTTTAAAAGCCGATAAATGTCACTTGTGACAAAGCTAACAAAAATATGAAGAGAGAATGCTTATTCCTGGACAAGTATCATGTCTGCGATAAAGCAAAGAGGGGCGAGTGTACACCGACGTATTTATACACATTACACGTAGATGTGTCGCGCGAACTGATCTCATTTTCCAAGCCTACGAGAAGAGAGAGAAAAAAAACTGCGAGAAAAGAAAAATGAGATACCGTCGATAGTGGTCGATTCGACGCGAGTGTACATTTTTCCACTGGAAATCTGTACGTCGTTAAGCAACGAATCATAATCATTGTCTAAGTCCTCGTCACTCTTTAGTTTCGCAATGATCTTGCGTCTTTTTTTCGTACCGACTGACTGCATAGCTAAAAGCACATTGGGGGACTGAATGCCGAGGGTGGATATCAACACGTCCGTCCCGTAAACGAATGCCGCGCCGACGATGAACCCAACTGCAACCGGCACAAACGCGTATTCGCCCTCTTCTCCGTAGGTCTTGCTGTCCGTTGCCATTTCGATCGCTGGTGCAAGCAACGACCAGTAACTCGCGGCCACCATCACGCCCGCGGCGAAACCCAGACTGACATCGAGGAGCTTACGCTGTAAACAAAAATGGATTGTTATTAAAACACACACGCACCTTTCTCGTGGAAAATTCTGCAAATAAAAAAGGAAAAAGGAAATTTCGTCACTTTATTTGTGGACTTTTCTTTAATACGTGGGGAAAGATAGGCTTGTTTACATTTAGAATCTGCGGTGTAACGTGTTATTCTCTCGAATCGATAATCTGTAAGAGGACACACAAATTTTGTCATTTTCAACGGACATTTAGCTACCGTCGCGATTATCAAAGGTGTGGCACGTGTATTTACTCGGGGATAATATTCCTACATAAAAACAAATAAGAAATTTCTACATTTTGCTTCGCAAGTAATTTCCGCTTTATCTCAAGTAATCAAAACACGTGATCACATACCAATATCATGTGCGTTGAAACGCATACATACTACACAAACGGCGTATCGGATATATCTATCGTCAAATTCGTGATATCAATTGAGTAATCTCTACCGCTAACTACTGCGCGCTACGAGGTTAAATGCGCTGATAAGAAAATGTCTAAAAAACACTCCCTTTCCGATCTCCACTCAAGATACACGCGGATGCAAAAATATTGATTTATTTGTCACAAATACGAGATCGACATTTATATGAAATATATACATATATATATATATATAAAACGTAGACTAGGAAAATAAAACATAAATTAATTTAAAAATTTTATATAAGAAAAATGCAATTGATGTAAAAATTACATAACTAATTTTCGTCGTTACACATTTCGAGATTTACCTAATAGTTAAAATATCTTATTAATAATTGATTGAAAACACAATTTATACGATTGATTAATTTGTCAATTATTTGCAGTAAATCTTCTATTTAAATTAAATACTATACTATTCTATTAAATCTTTCTATTATTTGCAGTAAATCTTCTATCGCGTTACATAATTTACTTGCTTTGACAATGCGAATTCGCAATCTTATCGCAAATGTTGTTTGACAAGCGCTAATATGCCATAGTGAAGCAACATTAACTTCCTGTAGACAGTGACAATATTTATGAAAGTTCTTCAATGTCAGTTGGTGCAAAAATTTATATTCGATATCGGCTGACGAGATAAAATCGAGGGAAAAACAAAAACTATTTTTCCGACATTTCTCAATGTCGCATTGTTATCTGAACAAGGTACGAGAAAAATGTTCTACCGGAAAGTTAGGAGAAAACGATAAGATATAGCGAAGTAAAAGTGTCTCGAATTGTTGTGCCTATTGTGTGATATTTGTTTTTCTTTCAGTTTTTTCCTCAAAACAGATTTGCTTCGACAATTTTAGAAAATTCCAATTTAACGCGAACACCAAAACATCTCGTACGTGAAATTTAACACATAAAAGTTTACTAAAAAAAGATGTATGGGCAAGGGAAACTACATACACATATATTATATAAAATGTACATTATATGTTAAACAAAGATATTAATATGTTGGCAAAGGTCACAGCATGTGTGTAAAGATCTAACGAACAAAAAAAGTGCGCGTAAAAGTAGTTAACAAATAAAAAACCTGACAAATTATGTCTACAATATGCGCAACGCGAACTAGTTCCCTTATTAATTAAGTTAACTTTTTGTGTGCAAAAAAAAACATGTGTTTGCAAGGGGTTGTTGCAAATTTGTCCGGGATGGGCTTTAACAATGTGAAAGCGTGTGATATGCGCGACGATAGTCGTCGTTCTCTCGTCACATACGCGGGCGAATTAAATCGTACGAGAAGGAAGCGGCGGATTATGCGAGCTCGCCAATCGACACACAACATGCAGAACCGTCGTTAGGCGACTGACAATTTCATTGAACCAAGCTCTAAATTTAAATGCGACGAAATAACGAGCCAAGATACCGTCGCTTGCTGACGCAAGTTGTGTGTCGACGGTGATTTTTTTTCATCTCACTCGCTCCGAAAATCTCGTCTAAAACCTCAACGGTGTAATTTGACAATTGTAAGTTTTGCAACGAAATTCAACGACGACTTCCTCTGACACCGCAAATGCCTTAGCACACGAGATTACTTCAAATATCGCAGACGTATAAAAAAAGCGAGTGCTTCAAATATCGCAGACGTGTAAAAAAGTGAGTGTAAAATATCACTTTTTTAACATCACATGGAGCCGATGTTTCAGACGGATTAATTAAGAAATAAAAAATTCAAGTTTTAAAATTCAATTTTGTCAACTTCCCGCCGGAGCAATGCGACAATTTTAAAACGACTGTTTTCGATCTGTATAAAAAAAAATAAGATACAATTTGACGTTTGCGACAATGAAAACTTTGTAATTTTTGCGCTTGGAACAAGATGTGCGTTCATGTATGTGCGTCGGCGAGAAGAAAGAGGAAGACGCGAAACAAAACGTAAAAAAGTGTGCAAGAGAGCAACGCAAACAGAGATGACACGGAGCGAATGACGGAGCAAGTGAGGTTAAGTGACCGACGTCTCGATTCGAGAGATGAATCGTTTCACGCGCAGAGACGGGTTGAATGAGAAAATGTTCAAACACGCGCGCAATTGCAATTGCAATTGCGTGCGCAAAGAGAAAAACACAATTGATACTCACTTGTTTCCCCCGAATGACGATGACGAGCGCGGCGCCGGCTGCTGTTAGAGCCCACGTGAACAGAGTCCCGAGGAGCGCCTGAACGATCGGTGGTTGATTCTTTAGCATTGTTGATGTCACATAGAGGACAGGACGAACGTGGTCTAAAGAGAACGGTTGACGTGTGTCTGACGGCGATGCTACGGTTTCGCGCGTTTAACGGAGCGCGAACACAACCACGGAGCGCAATAACCACCGAACGCGAAACGCGAGATCCTTGCGCGCATTCAGTCCCCCCGCGCTTGCTGCTTATCTCGACCTACGAACAAACTCGGCCGATGCGACGAGTCATCGAGCTGTACTACTATATTATCACACTACCACACTATTGGCTGCTCGCTCGAGAATTGGGGTATCGTATTTTGTCGCGTTGCGAAATCGCGTCACGCGCGACGCGAATCGTCCATCCGCTTGTCGGTCTCGTCGATCGCGACCACCTTCGGGAATCGCGAACGTCAGGAACGCGCACGGCGCCCACGTAACGCGCGTTTACGCATTTTTTTCGTCTACGCACGAGACCGGATAAGAGAACACGCTTACGTCACATATACGCGCGCGTAATGTACATACGTGTGGGCGCGCGACGGACGTGGGAGCACCTTCTCGACTTCTCTCCCTCGCACATTGACAAAAGCGGGGTTGGTCACGTCCGCGACGTCGCTCCAGACGCGAGGCCGCCTCGACCAATCGCGCGGTGGCGCTCCGATCGACGGCCAATGAGCGAGTTGCGCGCGGATCGCTACGCGCACAGTCGGATTCCCCCGTGAGTCGCGCGAGTTTCGTTCGTGTCGCCGTTTTGTCTCAAGGTCTGTTCGTAACGGTTTAATTAACGATGCCAAGGCGCTCGCCTTGATCGACAATGTCCACCGGTGAAACGCCGACGTGAAACACGCGCGTCGCGACGCGTTTTCCGCAACGTTTTTTTTTGTTAGATTTTCGCGCGACCGAACTTCGACGCCGTGTGCGTTTTTCGTTTCGCTCGACCGCTCGGGGGGCGCTGTCGTCGACGACCGCCGCTAAACCTAACCCAGCAGACGACGTGGTGGCACTCGACTTGTCAACGGGCAACATGGCGTCCGCAACGGTAAGTGCGCACCGATATCCGAACACAACTCGACCGCATTACTGACGCCACATGATTTTTTTAGTCTTAGCGCTTCCCGATGTATTCGATTGTCTTATAGAGCAAAATATCAGAGTTGTTATCTTGTACGGAAGGGACCGAGAGTAATAAGTTCTCTAAGTTGACGATAATCACGGGGTGGAAGATCGTACTCTGACATTTCTCGCTCTTGCGTATATTTCCGTATGTATACTAACAAAAAACAAGGGTTCGTACAACCACCAATTATACGTCCCGATTCTCTATCTGTGGAAACGGTGTTTATGTAAACGGGGGGTTTGATCTCATGCCTGTGTCTCTTTGGTTTTTCGTGAAGAAAAGCATCTCGTACTTTGAGTTCGTGTGTCATGCCGATATGTAAATACGCGTGATGTTGAGGTTCAACAAATTGCATGCTCGATATGTTTCTCTTCCAAAAAATGTTGTACCATCTCGTTTGTAGGTGCCGTTACTGATGGACGACGATACGATCGCTTTTGGAGAGGAGGAAGAAGCCGCACAAAATGCCAATAAGCTTAAGTACTTACGACCGAGATGTGATTTTATACAGAGAGATAGGCCAATGGATATCTTGTATCTTTTAGAGAAAAATATCTCGTTCTATTTCTAGGCACCCGTATGTTACACTGTTTCACTTGGCCTTTAGGATAGCGGCTATAGTAGTTTACATGCTTTGCGGTTGGTTTTCTAATAGTTTTATAGCGAGCTTTGTAACAGTGGTCCTACTTTTATCAATGGATTTTTGGACGGTAAAAAATGTCACGGGTAGATTAATGGTCGGCCTGAGATGGTGGAATTATGTGGATGACGATGGCAAAAGTCATTGGGTTTTTGAATCTAAAAAGGTTTGGTTGGTTACTTGCGATATACATATTTTAAAATAACAGAAGAGAGAATTTTACATAAATTTAACAAAATGCTAAAACAGAGCTTAGTTTTTCTAAAATTACAAGAAAATTTCACATTTTTCCAAAGAGAGATATAAACACTTATTAAACTTTAAGTATTATTATATAAATATTATTTTGTATTAATGTAGATTTTAATTGATCGAGTATATAATTTTTCACCTGTGCACGTGTCATGTTTCAGCGAATACTGATTTAATCAACTGATTAGTTCAAGGTTTAGCTGTCACATGTTTATGCGTTCTTGACTTTCTAAAAACTATTTTTCTCTTGCGCACTATTTCGTTTATAAATAGATAATTATCTAATGAATTTACGTTTATTACATCTGTGAACATATTATCAAAGCGTAGTTTATACTTCAAATGGAGATTACTTAATTATATAAATTTTTTCGCCAATGTCTGCTATGTACCCTGTGTTTCAGGGTGCACAACAGAATCGCATTAATCCAACAGAGGCGCGCATTTTTTGGTTGGCTCTGATCTTGTGCCCACTTTTCTGGTCCGTATTGTTCACTGTCGCGTTGTTTGGTTTAAAATTCAAGTGGCTTCTGCTTGTTTGCATTGCCATTGTTTTGAACGGTGCGAATTTATACGGCTATGTCAAATGTAAAATGGGAAACGATCAAAATATCTCAACGGCCACTAGTGATTTCATCAAGAAACAAGTGTTCCAAAATGTATATATCTGTGTGAAAATTTCTAGAGAATAATATTTACGTATTTTTTTTTTTTTTTTGGATTTACATACTGACGTACTCCTTTCATTTATTTTGCCACAGGTCGCTTCTATGATGACGAGGAGCCCGCCAACAACAAGTAATTCCAATCAAATGACTAATGTAATATAGATCTGTAAATTTACAGTCATTCAAAAATTTCGCATTTACAAGCTGTATAATTTAATAAATATTTGTACATAATAATAATGTTAGGTATTCTCTCTTTTAAGTATTACATAAAATAAATTGTTTCTATCTTCACTCTACGTCAATATAAAGGACTTCTAGTTATTCATCCATTACAGTTCCCGACTCCATCCAGGTTCCCGATTCCGTTCAAATAAAAACTCTGTGAAGAACTTTATGTTAGTACTAGTTTATTAATGCCGCAAGGCAATACATAATGTACACGGTATTTTTTTTTCTTGTCAACAGACTCTCTTCCTATTACACAATATTTATTCTGTATAATCGTTAATTAGTTAACATTGCATTTATCATGTTTTGTTTTTTTATTTTTATTTTTTTTTATTTTACCTCAGCCTGTTGTATTCTTTCTGGCAAGAAAGTATCACAAAATAATTTCCCATTCTTTCAACGATATTTAGTATTTGACTTATTCTTCTTTGCTTTTAAATTCATATTCTTCTTCGGATCCGCGTCTGCGGCGGTCATTTTTATTGATCCATCTTCAGATGAATTTCAAACGATCTTACACACACAGTTAACAAACTCGCTATTATATATTGCACGGAGCTTGAAGCAGCCGATTGTATATTTCGTCGTTTTGTATTTTATCAAAATTGCTCCGGTGTAAGAAACGCGAGTTGTACGTTTTTTTTTGTTTTTTGTTTTTTCAAGAAGAAGAATACAACAAACCACACATATTGCTATACATTTTAGGTCATAAAAAAAATTTATACAAAGACTAACAAGGAGTAAGCTACCAAAGTTACACGGAAATATACTCGGAATGATGTAAAAAACTGAGTAACGTTACACATTATTACACATTACAATATAAACGTACGAATATGGTATGTGTATCTCTTTTTGTTCGTAGCAGTAAATTTTTTTTAGTGAGTATAGATTATAAACGACCACAACTTATAACTAGTAGTATATTTATACAACAATTTAATTTTCGTTTCTCTCGTAACTTAGTTTTTAGTTGGGAACTTTAAATGTGAAGCCATTAAGAAAGCTGGCTAAGTTAGATGTCGAGATAATTAATTACACTGGAGTTTCTCAAAAGTGATAAAGGTTTTTCTTCACGAAAGATTTAATGTCGAGTTTTAATGCTAATTAAACTTAATACTCTCTTTTTATACAATTATCATCATCATCATCAGGAGAAGAGTTAATGAGAGTGAACGTTCAATGATTTGTTACAGATGAAGACCCAGAGTAATAAGTGATTTTTCAAGTCATTTTTTTTTTTTTTTTAGCAAAAGTCTTTAATTTCTCTCTTTGTTTTTAAAAAATGCTATAATAAAACTGTTAGTGTGTACAGGGCGTTTGACTTTTAAAGTTTAGAAGCTACTGCGATTTTCTTGTGTTGAGAAATATTTTTATTTTTTTCATAAAACTACCACGTCTTAAAATTGATTGAGTCAAAGTGGTGGAACTTGTGAACTATGAATGAATAATTGTACAATGTTTTGAACAATGATGTGAAAAATTACAATGGAAATAATTTAATATATTATTTACAGGAAAAACCCTCCCAATGTACAACACATAATTTGTTAAAATATCATTCCACGTTCTTAAACTCTCTCTCTAAATGCCTCTTTAACGTATTGTTTTGTGTCTTTTTTTAACGTTTTCAGTCGTGTGAATGATGTAAGAGAGCTAATAAACATTCAGTCATACACCATGTATAACGTGTCTCATTAGCAATATCTCGAAGTGTGTGAGCCAACCGTCGGTGAGTTTCCATGTTATTAATCGCAGTCTTTTGAAAAATTATGCATATCCAGAAAAAAAGTGAAACACTGCTACTGTCTCGTTTTGTCGTTCAGAGTCGTTCTTTTTTATCTACTTAATTTACTTATTTAGTATGTGTAGAAATATTACATGTATTAAAAAACACAAAGTTTACTGATATATATATATGAGAAAAATTCAGAGACGAAACAAGTACATGAAAAATATTGTATAAATATACTCTTCATTAGCTCGAGGAAAAATATTCTACTGAAGTAAATAGCTGCTTATAAATTACACTGAAGGCCAAATATTATTGTGTCACAATAATAGATCTGCTGTTAACCATTGTAATAAACATACAACATGGTAACTTATACGCGTCGTTAAATTTAAATTATTAGTTACACAATGGGACATAAGGCGAATTATAGAATTATATTTTTTTTATAACTAGCATTATAATATATTATATCATTAGAAATATAAGTATAGTAGTATATATATATATATATAATTATCATTACGTCATATAAATTAGTGAAAATGCCACGATTGTAATGTATATTGAACGGTTTAACAGGCAGTGAAAAATTTAATGCAAAATTACTTATGTAAGTACATTACGCATATTTCAACAAAGTTCAATACTTTTTTGATAATACAAACAATACGTGTAATGTTAAAGAAGTATTGTTTAAAATGGCCCTCAGTCTGCTAACAAAAACGAAAAATTCTAATAAACAAGCACGTAAGCAAGTTTTGGTTTTTTTAATAAACAATAAAATTCAATTCTTGTCTAAAAAAAACTTTTCTCAAAAGAGTTTGCACACAACTATCGAAAAACAACGCGCGCGCGCTAAACATTTGTTATAAAACACTACTAAAAAATATAGGAATATAAAAAAGGTATAAAATTATAATTAAAAAACTGGTTAAGAAGAGAATTAAAATACAGATACAACCTAGTCGTGAGTATGTATGTGTATTAGTTCTGTGAGCGAGTTAAAACTTAACGCACGTGATAATCTGAAAAAAAACTTACATTTTTGTTTTTTTTTAAATATCTCCATGTCTGTACTTTTATATGCACACTCGCATCTCTTTCTCTTTCTTTCTTTCTCTCTCTTATGATATATTAAAATTATATATATATATATTATATATATTTATACATATATAATCATTATATGTATATATATGTATATCTTTATATAATGTTGCTAATGACAGACGGTGCAGTTATGTACATTTAGTCACAATTCCTGACCCTCGAACCACTAATGTAATTAGCAGAAAACGGGATGTATACTCGAGAGTGTGACAGACACAAAAATTTTGTACAAAAGTCACGAAAGTATAAGTGTGACCGTTATTCCTGTAATTTGCAAGTGTGTATTTTATAATAAGTGCAGAAAAAATTGTCAAAGAAATGCCAAAGGTATGAGATCATTCGAGAACGATACCTTGTTTTGTTTTGAACACTATTTCGATAACATCGCGGACGTTATTATATATGCACAATTTTTTTGTTTTTGTTTTTAAATCGACATTCTCTAAAATATAGTATAGAGACACTACACAACAAGACACTTTGCTACATCGAAGGGCTATATGGATTTTTTGAAGTACAGAAGTGATGTGAACGAGCGCGCGATTATTGTCCTCATAGACTGGAGAGTTTGCAATTACGAATTGCAATCACGTGTAAAGTCGTTATCTCTAGAAAAATGGATATATATATATTACGGTGAAAGGAATTAAGCACCGCGGTTTTTATAAGATCGCAAGTGATTCTATTGACAAATCACACGCACTTATTATTATTATTATTATTATCAATATTCATAATAGTTTTATCAAATCTATTATCTCGATGGAATATCAAAGAGTTCTATCTAGGAGGTTTTAGATTGTTCGAAACTTTGTTTTGAAATAAGCGTGGCTGCAAAAAAAGTTTTCGAAATTCAACGTTTGTTATCTATTCGCCAACAAATTAGCGATTTTCATAGAATCACAATAGGTCTTATACTCGACGTATACGAGACGTTTTTTTTTTTTTTCACCATAATATCACGTAACAATGTACTCTCCCCATTATGCGAATATTGGCATTAATTTGACATTTGAGAAAGAAAAGAAATATGTATTACACAAATAAAACTGATGCAACGATAATAAAACTTACAGCGCGACTGCATCTATTTTGCTACATTTCAAAGGCAATCAGAATTGAAAGATGCTCGAGGTAGAAGTTACACGTTGGAACTTTGTACACAACGGGTGTCGAGGGTTCGGAAGAACAGTACACGAAATTCAACATACAGTGCTTTCTATTTTTTTTTTGTTTTTTGTTTTAATTAGTTTCTTTCTTTTACAGAAAAAACGCACAATTTCGATTGCGCGCCTTTCCTTTGAATATAGGCACCGTTTCCTTTCATCCTTCTCTCATTCGAATCATTTTTCAAGATCATCTCGTCTCTCTAATGGCGTCGCTTAAAATCTAATCCTTAAAACAATATTTCTTTTCTCTTACGATCTATCTAACATTATTATAATATATTTAATAGAGAAGATCCCTACCGTTCATAAAATGAGTACAGCGTTAATAATTGTCAATTTGGCAGTATGGCAATTTTCTTCATTCTTGTGAGCGGAAATTTTCATCTCTCTTGTATTTCTTTTTTTTTTTTGACCTAGAGTTTTTTTCTGTGTCTATGTGTCAATAAATATTTATGAAATGTGCCACGTACGCGAAAGATTGAAGTATTTCTGTGCGTTATTTTTTTGTTTGTTTTTTTTTTTTTTTTTTTTTTTATCAATCAATTACTGATCGTGCATTTCGGTACTCTTCTGTTTTAGGTTTCGCGGATATCGACGTCGTCACACTCTTCTTCTTCTGTTCCTCTACGTAATCTGGCTACTGAAGGAAGCACTCATCTTCAATAAAAGGCGTGGTCTCTTCGGGAAAGGTGTGATCTTCGCAGTCTCCAGTTTGTTTTGTACGAGTGTGTACCCCCATGCACGAGAGAGAGAGAGAACAGGTAAATGCACTATGTTTCGAGCGGCAGAGATATGGTCGTATAGTTATTTTTTTTTTCAGTCTATCTTAAAATTAGACTATCTATATATAGATCTTAGAAAATGTCTTTGTGAATGATCGATTCGACAGAGCAGGGGGGATATGTTCCAAATTCACTAATTTGCGAATGCGAGAATTCTACGCGGCTCAGTAATTTTTTTGTTTTGTTTTGTTTTGTGTTTTTTTGTTTTTTTGTTTTTTTGATTATATTGTCGTACTCTCTTGCAACCGATTTCATCGACGAGGAAAAAAATTAATGTTTTGGGAAATAAAAAAATCGGCTTCGGAAAATCCGTTCGACGGAAGGAATCTTGTGCAAAAATTTGCACGAGGAGAAATGTATGACAATATAGAACACGATCGTCTGCACAATCACGCGTTATTGTACATACAATTTTTCAAGCAGCAAAGTTTTGACTCGCGTCCCGAATCGCGAGAGAAAAAACTTCCGAATCCTTAAACGTAGTTTCTAAAGAGAGATTTAGCCTTCGAGCAAACTGCTTCCCAATAAGCAGTCGATTCGAGCGTTCCGTTTCTGCGCGCTGTCTCGTCAAGAGTGAAAATTTCCGGCGTATTTGCATTTACCGCATACGCCATTGACTAAAAATTCATTTCATCTCTATGTTAACTGCCCACAACACACTAGTAATCGTGTTTGCTACTTTATGTGTCCTTGGAAGGTACGTCACACGATTTTATTGTACTAGACACGTCGTACTTTTGCCCTTTCGACATCTCTCTCGCCTCTCTGCCGATCCCGTTTGTCTCTCAACAGATCCCTCTGCTCGCGAGAATCGACTTGTCAGTTGGCATAATGATCGAACGAGCCTAAATACTCCAAACTGGCTCGATAGCAGAACTGATATTGATCCTGTAAGAAAAAAAAAACGAATCACACGTGTGAGAACAATTGTTTAATTAAACAATACGTAACAGTCGTTGTACTTTGGCATCTACGAACCTCGGTTTGAACCATTGCCGGACGTTGCGTGCGCAATATTCTTACAGTCTGGAAAATATCGACCACGCCCTCGTACTGCATTCTCTCGAGCACGATGCTAAGCGTAATAAAGACACCTGTTCTCCCCACACCGGCGCTGCAGTGCACGGTAATCGGCCCGTCTTGACCGAATTGCTCCTTCGTTTTGTGCACCTGACCGATGAAATCGATAAAGCCGTCGCCGGACTTCGGGACACCCTGTTCCGGCCAGTCGATGAACTGGAATTGCCTGACCGTGCGACTGGCACCGTCGCGCGCGTCCGTCACCTTGAACTCTCGTAGAATGTACTGCGGCATATTGTATTCCGCAATCGGGTCCACGACATAGCACTGATAACGGATAGATCGATCGGACGGCCAGTATTGGTGACACTTCTCTCTGCCCATCTCTTTCAGCTTCGTCAGCATAACCACAATCGTGGAATTGTGTTCCCATAGCATACGCCAGAAATCGTCAGTGGTGTCACAAAGCGGACCCTGCGTCGCTATATAGGCCCCTCGATAGCGATAACCGTCGATCAAGCTGGCGTTTATGTAATCGGATCCCTCGACGTTGCGCTGCGGCTGCAAGCAGACTCGAGTACATTCGTAAGGCAGAATGTGGACCAGTCGATTCTTGTGTTTGTTGCACGGCAGGTTGGCGGATATAAATCTGGTCGAGTCGGCTTTGATGTTGGACAGTTTCTTAAATTCCAGTTCCATTCCGGTTATATTGTCGATCTCTGGCTGCATGAGCTTCTGAATGTGCGAGTGTAAGTTCCTAGCCGGTACTTCGGTATTACCGCAGATTACCGCTTCGAGCAGAGCGTCGTGAATGAAAATGTACTGATCCTCAGTCTGAACCATGTAATTCCTTTGAGCGCGCAGACACGTAACATGACCGTAAATATCGATCATCTTCTCGTGTTTAATTCTCTCCAACATCGAGTCTATTACAATGAAACAACCGGTTCTTCCTACACCCGCGCTACAATGTACGACCAGTGGTCCGCTATCGGGAACATTGAGAGATCTAACTCTGCGTAGGAACTGCAAGAACGGTGCGGGATGTTCCGGCACTCCGTGATCGGGCCAGGCCGTGAACTGCAACTGCTTTATCTCGCGCCGTTCGGAATAACCCGCCCGGCAAACTTGGAACGTGCGAATGCAATAGGTCGCCAGTTCTTGAACGTCGGTGATGGATACGGTCATCTGTCCGTAAGTTTCGGATCCTCTGATAGGCCAGTACTGATCGCACTTTATCCTCGTTCTCTCTTCCAATTTCGTCATCATCACGATCGTGCTGGTTCGCAATTCCCAACACATGCGCCAGAAGTCTCCAAATGTTTCTTGCAAAGGTCCCTGCGTGGCCACGTACGCGTTTTGCTTTCTGTAACCGTCGCAGTAATTGGCGTTGATGTAATCCGAACCTGGCATACCGTCAACCGTCTGGAGGATCACTCGCGAATGGTCGTACGCGATCACGTTGGCGTAACGATTTTTCGACGCGTTAACTTCCATGTTGGAATGGTCCCACGTGAATTGTTGACCGGGTTCTATTGATTCGTATTCTTGACTGAACTTGAGATTGTCGTTCGCTTTCAGACGTTCGATGTGATTGCCCAGTTCGCTGATAGGAATCGGCGGGTGCGAGATCATGCCGGGAGTTTGGAAATTTAAGCGCCGCAACTCCACCGGATCAGACGGCGCGTGATTTGAGCTTATGTCCGCCGCCATGAGCGGTCGCGTTACAGCAGCTTGATCGGGTGCTTTACATGGCTGCCTTCGTCTGAAATAATTAGAAAACGTGATGAGTTTATGAGTCTCTTCCTAATTACTTATCTCTCTCTTTTTTAAATCCTTACTTTTTAATGACGAATAAGAGCACTAGACAGACGCTGACCATCAACGCCGCTATGATAGGACCGACAACCCATACCATGCCCGGTTCCTGACCACTAGTTTTCACAGATACTTCCGGATTTCCATCCGGAGGCGTGTTGGGATTTGGTCGACGGGGTGGCTCGCCGGGAGGCACTTCCCTCATGTCCAGTGACAAGTATTCGGAAAATGGCGACGATGTGTACAGATGCTAAGACAAATTCAAAATATTTATTTTAAACAATACTTACGCGACAACGATCGCTAATTACTCTTCACATCTTACCTTGCGTGGAGTGTCGACCACCGCGCGTACGAATATCCTGTAGCGCTTGTTCTTCTCGAGCTTCCGATTCTCGTATCCCTCGTAAATATCTCCGCTGCCCAAGTGGAATGTGTACGGAATGTCTCTATGCGGAAACTTAGCTGCGATATAGGGCGCGTTTTCTCTCTCCTGTTTAGCACCTTTTCCGGTGATCATGTCCTCGGTCAGTTCATCGGGCTGTTTGTCAGCCGTGCTCTTATCCTCGGGCACGACGATCAGATAATAATGCGAGATCGGGCCGTATTCCTCGGAAGCTTGCGGCAGGATAACTTGAATCTCCTCGCCGTTGACCACGCCGTAGAAATCCGGTTTTACCATCGGCTTGGGCGCGGCCATCTGCGTGGTGACTGTGATTTTTGCCGGTGGCCTGTACTGATTGTCGCGCGGAACAGCGCTCACGTTGACGTTGTAGGTCGTAAACGGTTGCAACTCGTTGATCGTCGTGGTTGTTGTTTGAGGATCCAACAGGATCTCTCTGCGAGGCACAATTTGCGTTTGCGTAATGCCCTGAGAATCGACGAATTCCTTAACGGCGTCGAACGAGACCTTGTACTTCGTCGGGGTCAGTCTTATGGGCGGCGTCCAGGAGAGGGTCATCGAGTGCGTCGACGAGTCCGGCGCTCTTAGATTCAGCGGCACGTCCTCAGGCTTCACCTTCACCGTTACCTTCTCACTTAATCTTCCTAGACCGGTTTTGTAACGCGCCGCCACCGTTATGGCGTACTGGGTGAACTTTTCCAGATTGATGAGATCTACCGATTCCGTTAGGCCCACGCTCTTCTGTTTCCACTCGTCCAGATCTTCCACCGCGGTTGTCGTGTAAAAGACTTGGTAGCCGACGATCTTTCCTCGGTTCGGCACCGGCTCCCACCACACTTCCACACTGGAATCGGACGTGGCCACGGCTTTCACGGACATCGGAGCCCGGCCGATGTCTTTCTCGGTCATTATCGTGATCTTCTCCGAATACGGACCGCTACCCTGCGACGTGTGCGCTCGCACGTGAAAAACGTACTCCGTGTTCTCCTCCAAATCCGTGAACACCGCTCTTGTCTTGGTCGTGTTTCTGTCAATGGTGGTGGAGTGATCGTTCTTCTTGTTAAACTGCACATCGTAACCGATTATCTGTCCGTTTCTGTGCTGTCGCAGCGGCTTGTCCCACGTCACGCACACGGTGTCGGGTGTTTGAAAGAAATACGACAAGTTCGTCGGCGGCCCGGTCGGCTCGCCTTCCGGACTGAACCAAAATCGCACGGTCTCCTGACCGAAGCCGACGTCGTTCTTGCCAGCTACTCTGAACTCGTACTCGACTCCTTGTTCTCCTATATTTATCATTTTTTGACTTATTAAGCGAAAAACGCGATTTATCAAACAATAGAAGAACGAAACTGATTAAGATTCATACAATCCGAAAAAGAAAAATACGCGTGAAATTACGTGCACATTATTACATTTAAGTTTTTTTTTTTTTACCGAGGTCTGTAATTTTGTACGTATGCTGCCGCGTGCCCTCGATGAACTCCTCCTTGAGCGTTTGATTTTTTATACCGTATCGAATACGGTAACCCAGCAGATTGCCGTATATCTGAGAGGGCGGGGACCAATCGAGTTCCAAGACATCGGGGCTTCTGCTAAGGACTCTGCGAAAAAAGAAGAATTATATCTGCTTTGCCCGCGACAATGCGATCTCTCTCGATTTTGATATCAGACGATTCTTACTTCACGTTGACCTGCGGTCTGTTCGGCACACCGCCCGGCGTTCTAACGTGAACCGGCACCGAACGATCCCCGTCCCCCTTTCTCGTTAACGCCGCCACCTGCACCGAGTATCTCGTGTCCGGCTGCAACCCGGTGATATTTGCCTCTAGGACACCTTCATCGTGTACGTCGCGACGTATCGGTTCGTTCAACAAATCTTTCCCCTAAACAATCATTAAAATAGTAATCTCACCCTCTCTCCCCGCTTCTCATAAATCTTTATATTTATAAATTAGTTTATTTATTTTTCTCTGTAATTATTTTTCAAAATTGTTTTATCGCGCACGTCCGACGTAACGATTTATTTACGACGTTGTTAGGAGAATAGGAAATTACGGTAAATAAATATTTACTTTGCATCGCGGTTTTCCGCGATGCCGAGGACAATGCGCATTAATAAATGAATAGAGGGATTTACGATACAGCGCGTGAATAGCGGGATAATAGCGAAGACAAAAAGGGCTCATCAATGAGCCCCGCGGCCCCGTGGTAAAAGCCGAAAACTTGTAACGCTACAAGCTATTGATCGCGCAGCCGGCAACAGCCCGCAAACTGACCTCCTCCCTCACTTCTTGCACATGTATGTGGTATCCCCGTATGACGCCGTTCTGATCTTTCGCTTTCGGCGGCTTCCACTCGACGCGTATCGCCGTCGAATTGATCGGCGTGGCTTTGACGTCCTGAGGATCCCCCGGCACTGTAACGCAATCCATAATTAATTCGGGCACTTTACGCTCATTCCGACGTCACACGCACATACACACGCCCATGTACTCTCGCATACGTACCACGGACAGGAAATAATATAAATAATATCTCGGGGATTCTCGTAATACACAAAAGAAAAAACAGCATGATCGGAAGAAACTTAATGACGAAAATAAAAAATAAAATTAAAAAATGTATGTAAAAACGCCGTAAGTCGCGTTCGCAGTCTAACCCGTTTGTCCTCGGGATCATTGTTCGTCTATTTACACTCGAAAAACGAGATAGAAACAACTTGAGAAGCGAATGAAAGCGTAAATGTCAATAGCCTTTGTCGCCAAATGAACTAGAAAAAAAAGTAAGAATTAGAGACGATCGTTTCGCGACAAATTTAAGTGGAGAGATGTACAAAATACTCTCTTTAACATTTTCGCGATCAGTCGTCCAATCCGTCGTCCGGTTCGTCGCTGTAAACGAGAAAACGAAAATAAAAAAAGAAATTAAAGAAGAATCGGATGATTAGCAAGAACGAGACAGAGATAGCGGTGAGAGAGATACAATCGAAAAGGAAATAAAAGTTTCACCAGCAGTCACGGCACAGTGAAATTATAAGTAAAAATAAGATCGTGAACGGAAAGAAAGATACGTACCGATAAAACAAAAAAAAAAAAAAACCCGGAAAGAAAGAAAGAAGAAAAAGTAGTGGAGAAAAGGTAATTACATGCCGCCAATCACACACGGACAAAACGACGTACAAACAATATTACGAGGCACATTGTACCCCATGCTCTACGCCCCTGATACGCGATTACGATCCTCCATTTGAATACCAATAATACTTTTATTTCTCTTTTTCTCATCTTTTTTTTTTTTTCTTTTCTCTTTAACTCGCGCAGACTCGGTTTTTTCGCCCTCGCGTGTACAAGAGCTCGCCCGCGCGCGCGCGCGCAAACACGTTACCGCACGGTGTGAGTACGGCAAAGTAACGCGGTAACGTTACGGACACACAGCGGCAATATTGGAGAGTCCATGACTTGAGAGACCAAGTAGTTAGTTAGTTTCTCCGTGGAAGGAATATGTGCAGGCAAGAGTGTCCTTGCCGAGGGACAGTAAAGTTGTAGCGGCGAGAGAGAAAGAGGTTGAGCGAATCTTGCGGTCGTCCTCAACCTCGGACGGATCGAATGCGGTAATAAATTATATTGCACGCGCATCTATTTTGAAACAATTGCAATTTATTTATCCACCACAGTTCGTTGACGTTAGAGAGTCGTTGAACTTCGCGGCGACGTTGTGTTTTCGAAATTTTTCGGAGTTGTCTGAAATCTCGCGATTTTCACGAGAGAAACGAGGTGGTCGCTCTCTCTCATGGACGGTCCAGTATTTCGATGTCGCTGAACACAGCTAATCGTAAGAGAAAATGGGAAACGTAATATATAGCGGAAGAGGAAACAAACAAACAAACAAACAAACATCCGGATAATAAACAGCATTGCCTAAGTCCTACTTCCGCACAATTACATATGATACAAAACAGCAGCTCTACGACTTGTGAGAGAGAAAAAACAAACTAAAAATCAAAATTACGTAATTTCGCAACAAAAGTTACAGAAAATTCCGACGCAGAAAAAACTGAATTTGAACTTTATGCGCGTGGGTTTTGATGAGAAGCGATTGGCGAATCGCGTGCTCGCTCTGCTCTCTAGCACACTCGCACGTGATGTATATATATATGTACACAAGATCAAGATCACACTTACAAACTTCGCTAGGTAGCGCAAAAAACAAGGATGGCGAGCGCGCGCAAGTCGCAGCGTTTATAATACGTACGTAATTAATTAACATGTTTCTTAATAAGATATCATATTGTAAGTCGCTGTGGCTGCAGCAAAACGCAAAATAGAGACAAAATATACTGTAGGACGAGACACTTTGAGAGAGCGGATTCTCTCTCAATATAACAAAAAAGTGTATATATTCATATATATATATATATATGCAAAAAACGAGACGAGATATAAAAAAGTACAAACGAGTGAAAACAAAAAAAAAACAAAAAAAAAACAAAAAAAAAAACAAAAATCAGACTGTATAGAAAAATATGTCATGGCACAACTCGAGACGAGCTAAGAGATACTCACTTTTTTCAGCTGCGCCCCAAAAGTCGCCAAAAAAGTGGGAAAAAAAACTCGTAAAAATTCGTGTCAACTTCGCACGTAATATTGAGTAAGAATTACAGTGTAAAATTTAATTAATCTTTAAGGAGCATATCAAAATTGGTAGCACACTACTGAGATTATCGTGATTCAGAACTGAGATTATCGTGTTACAAGAGAAATTGGCTCTCTCTATGTAAAATGGCTATTTTCTCGAGATTTTTACAAAAAGAAAAAAAATTTTTTTTTTTTTTTTTTTTTCAAGTAAACATGAAGAAACATCTTTTATATCCCTTGCCTTCTCGAAAACGTATGTAATACAGACACGCGCTCTCGCATTCGCTCGATTCAAGTTCGCTCCGGCCTCATACGCTCGATCGGACACAGGCACGCCGCTTATTTAAAAATGTTCTCTCGCAACTGCTAACGAATGTGTCGTGTGGCAACAAGAGATTCCAAATGATTTCCAATCAATCGTAATTACGATAGACCAAAAAAAAAAAAAAAAAAAAACAATATGATCGCTTGGCCCTCGGTTGGTCGCAGAGAGGCGGGAGACGTGAGAATATCTTTTTTTTTTCTTGGCATGCGCAATCACTACTCCAAATATGAAATAACTAAAGGCTCATGTTCACCTGCCTCGTGTCGAGGGGGAAGCGAGACACGAAAAAGACCCGAGAACGTGTGTGTGTGTGTGTGTATGCGCGCGTAATAATCACACACGTTTCTCGGAATGTGCGCGAAATCGCAATATAAATGTTAAAATGTCGCAAAAAAGAGATCTCGAGAGTTCGTCCTCCCTCCCCTTCCCTCCCTCCTCCCTCAGGTCTCAACCCCCGACACGAGACATCAAAGGGGAAGACCTATGATAAAATGCCTACGAAAAGAAAGCTAGGAGGGAGAAACCATAAGAAAGAATAAGATGGACGGTTTCTAGGATATCAAACAAGAGATGTGGGGGGTTTTTTTTTTCTCGTCGTCATTATGTTGCTACGGTAATAATCTAAGAGAATTGGACAGAATCCGTGAGAAAAACTCGCGCTTCATCTCGCAGTGTTACGTAAAAGTAGTCAAAAAACTCACGATATACAAGATCCAGGATGCATGTTCGGTAGGTTGGAGTGTTTCTTTTTTTTTTTTTTTTTTTGAGAAAAAATTGCTTTTCTCTCTTCTTTTTTTCTATGCAACTCCAAAAAGTCACCCGCAAAAAACAGCAGCTCGATCAAAAACTTTTGTCGTTTCAACAAAAGGGAAGCAAGATAAATTAGACAGAGAGAGAGAGGGAGAGAGAGAGAGAGAAAATAAGGTTGAAGGAAAGACGGAGAGAAAAAGGGAAAAAGGGAGACCACCGAGCGAGAACACCTTCTCCTCGGTTTCGATACCGAGTAAAAAAAAAGTATTTCGCTATTTGTCTCTCCTTTATCTCTTTTTTCTCCCTCTCCCCCTCCCTCTCTCCCTCTCTCTCTCTCTCTCTCTCTCTTAATGTCAACATCCACCCGCGCATTCATCCACGCAAAAATCACAAAATTTCGCGTAAAACGCGCGCGTAAATATGTTTCGACAGCCGAGAGAGACGCGGTGGCAGAGGTAGCTGCGCCGTTTATTTGATTAACGAATCACGGGCGCGCGTATATAGCCTGTCGACGATTTCGGGTGTGGTCCAATGTCCAATGACATGATCTAAAACGTCTAATTCAAATTGGCGAAACTAGTTGGATCGAGCTAAAAAAAAAGAAAAAAAAAAGAAAACGAACTGTCATAAAGTCATGCGTTTTTGGGTAGGGCATAACAGTATAAAAATTTACGTATCAAGTAGAAAAAAAAGAAAAATATTATATAGAGAAAAGAACAATCAGGAACATCAACGGACAGCCGAAGCTCTTGAGAGAGAGACCTTTCAACATTACACGCCTACGAAGAAAAGAGCGTCGCTTTGTATAATAACTGCTTGTGCTTGTAAGTAATTCAAATAATTCACAAAGAAAAAAAACAAAATCACATTTACACATACGGTGTGATCGCACCTCCTCTAGAGATAGCCACATGTAAAAAAAACGTGTGTGTGAGTGTCTCTTGAGACAAACTGTAATACAAAGAGGAAAACTGTAATATAAAGAGAAAAACTGTAATATAAAGAGAGGAAAACTGTAATATATACGATGTAATCAAACAGAGTATTTCGTACATACCGAGAGAGATGTATTGTCTCTGGGGAGAGATAAAAAAAAACAAAAAAAACAAAAAAGATACTATACATTCGACTTACAGAAACGGAAGGTGGGGGGGAATCTCTCGAAATGTCGCATGCAGAGAGAGCGAAAGATAATATATACGTACAATTTAAAAATAAAAAAAAAAAAATAAAAAAAAACAAACAAACACGGTCGCCCCCCCGAACGGGTCACGTCACATTCCGGCGAATTCGATTACGCATGAAAATTAATGGAACCTGACGCTCGCAATCCCACATATGTATGTACGTCCGGATTTCCCGTTTCACAAAGTCGGCGCAACGTACAAGCAAGTTTCTCTGAGTAACACATGCTTCGTCCGCGCCGGACACATTTGCCGTCCAAACAAATTGCGAATTCTCAATATGCATTTTCATATTTTACGTTACTTAAAATACACACACACAAAAACAAAAGAAATATCCAGACTAGGATATTCCTCATCGATCGGAGATTTCCGGCGGGGATGAAGTTCGACAAACCGATGATTTTAGGAAGCGTTTTACTCTCGTTGTAAAAATCCACGAAATTGTAACTGCGGCGCAAACGCACACAGATGGAAATGCAATCACAATAAAGATCGAATATTGGTATTCAAATGTTTTCAA